GATGGGATTGCAAATCAGTAAAACTGAATTCCTCATTGCACTAAAGAGGCAAACAGTGTCACAGTTTAGTCGGGGACTCATAAAATCAATTTTTATGTCATTTATTATCTACCATCAATCACAAAAATTATTGAGACTTTGACGACAATCTTTTTTAAGGACGATAGCATTAGATATCTTGAAGGCCCTCACTTCAAAGGTGTGGCTCAAAGGCAAGGTTACAAAACTCTGAAGAATGGAATCACTGGAAGGGTCGATTAAAGACAGATAAATCCTCAAACAGGTAGTTCCATGAAGGTAGAGTTGTTAATTTAAAAGTCATCCAGGTTTCCTGCAGAAAACGCAAGAGTCCCCTCAGGGATCACTCCTCAGACTAACCTTCTTTCTGATTCACATAAATGATCTGCCTAAGAATATACTCAGATCTTTTGTAAATATCTATGCTTGATGATATGACTATCTACTGGTGCACCTCTAAAACACTTGATGACCAACTATTGGCAGCTGACCTCTCTTTCGATCTAGCACGAATTACCCAATGAGGAAAATAACTGGCTGGCTACATTCAGTGCCTCGAAAAGCAAACTAGTTACATTCCATTATTGCCGAACGGATCACGAACTTCCTCCAAGCATGATGAACGCATGTCCTCTCAGAGGAACACCTTGCCTATTGGTCCTTAAACTCACACCTGACCTCAAGTGGAACTCGATAAAGATGCAGGTAAAATTGTCGGCTCCATGTGCCACTCCTGTAAGTACCTGACTTAACTGCAGTACCTTGTCAATCATATTTTATGAAACTTATATATATATATATATGTTTAACATTATATTTTATAGATACAAATATTTAATAACAAAAAATCTGTTTATAATAAATAGTATTAAACAACATTTACCGACTTGAATTACTGAAAATTTTCATAGAAAATATTCGTCCTCCGACAGGATTCGAAATATATGTATCCTATACGGAAATGATGATTTATCTTGACGTGCCTTGACCTGATTTTTTAAAAGGAGCGTTCGGTTTTGATAGGTAAATTTACTGTCTTTAAACTGGAAATTCTTCCATTTAAAATTCTAACGTACATGAAATATTTTATTGCTCATGGCAAATCAAATGTAAACAAAGGACGTCAAACAAATTATGAACTGGAAAAAGTCCGACAATTATTTTAAGACATTTTATGTTTTTATATTTTTATAGATACAAATATTTAAGTAAAAATTCTTATATTTATACTATTGTATTTAGTATTAAACAACATTTAACGACCTGAATATATATATATATATATATATATATATATATATAAATGTGTGTGTGTGTGTGTGTGTATATATATATATATATATATATATATATATATATATATATATATATATATATATATATCAGGTCATCCCATAAGTTCTGTCCGAATTTTAACTTTTGTTAAAATGAACGAAATTTAAAAGTATTATTTTATAATGTCTAATGGAGCTGAACATTATTTTTATGTTTAGATGCATTTAAACTGATCAAATTTTATTTCAGAGAACAATAAAATTAAATTTTGTTTGATTAAAACCCTGCTAACATGGAAGTACCCAAGAATCATTTGAGGCACATAATGCTTTATGAGTTCAAGAAAGGAAACTCAGCAGCCGAAGCGGCTAGAAACATTCACTCAGTTTATGGAGAGGAATGTGTGAATGAAAGAACTTGCAGAAGATGGTTTGCAAAATTCAGAGGTGGAGATTTCACCCTTGAAGATGAAGATCGAACTGGACGTCCAGTTGAGTTTGATGAAAAGCTTCTTGAAGCAGCCCTTGAAGAAAATCCTGCTTTATCAGTTGAGGAATTGGCAGTGGTTCTCAGTTCAAACCATACAACTGTTCATCGTCATCTTCAACAACCTGGAAAAGTTCCTAAACTTGGAAAATGGGTGCCTCATGAATTGTCTGAAAACAACCTCAAATCCTGAGTTCCATTCTCGCCAACTTGTTTCACCTTTTTTGGATAGACTTGTGACTGGCGACGAAAAATGGATCTTTTATCGAAATGTTAAGCGTCGTAGACGGTGGCTTGGTAAAGGGGAAGGACCCCAGTCACAGCCGAGGAAGGAACTTCATGGGCAAAAGGTTCTTCTTTCAATCTGGTGGGATCGCCAAGGAATAATCCACTTTGAATTCTTACCACCTAATGCAACAAGTAATGCTCAAATATACTGTCAGCAATTAGAGCGTTTGAACCAAGCTTTGAGGAAAAAAGACCTGCTCTAGTGAATCGAAAAGAGGTGATGTTTCATCAGGACAATACGCGACCCCACATAGCAAGAATCATGTCACAAAACATTGGCTGGGAGAAAATTCCTCATCCACCTTATTCTCCCGATCTTGCTCCTTCAGACTACCATTTGTTTCGTAGCTTACAGAATCATTTGGAAGAAACAGCTTTTGTAACACAGGAAGAGGTTAAAACTGACATTTGTGAGTTCTTCGAATCAAAGCCAAAAGAATTTTACAGTAATGGAATTAGTAAGCTTGTTAATAGATGGAAGGAAGTCATAGATAATCAGGGAAAATACATTGTTGATTGAATCTGTAATTAAATGTAACATTTGGTCACTTGTTTTCTTTATTCAAAATTCGGAAAGAACTTATGGGTTGACCTGATATATATATATATATATATATATATATATATATATATATATATATATATATCCTGAAATATAAAAGTGTAGATTTTTGCTTATGAAAAAATAATAGACATTCGTTGTCTGTTATATTTTACAATATATATATATGACAGACAATTGGAAAATAGTACTTAGTCCTTGTTGACGGATTTCGTTATTCGACTTTATCAAGGCAAGTGAGGATAAACAAACGCTGTGTATTTACAGATTTTTCATGTATTATAATATTACAACAACATATTATCATTTGGCCTGACATGCTATACCATTTAGTTATAAGAAATTAAATAATATAAAAGTCAAATTTAACCAGACGCTGTAGGCCAAATGACAGTTCCGTGTAGGATACAGGTTCGATTTCTATAGGACATGTATTTTTACGAAAATTTCTCGGACATTCAGGCCGGTAAATTAAAAAATACTGTTAAACAGAGCATTTACTTAAATAAGTGTACCTATAAAAATAACGTATAAACAGAAAATAAATGAATATATATATATATATATATATATATATATATATATATATATATATATAGTCACATGTCAGTGTTTAAAACATTTATGTTCTGACCATAAGAACACGGTTTGAAAGTGACTTGTTGAAAGTGACAATCCCAACATGTCAGAAAAAACATACCACATATTAATTCAAATCTAGGGCTTGTAATTAGGTAGACAAAAACCGTTTGGAAGCCATCAAAGCACAAGTCATCGTGACCGTGGACTTGAGCATACTAGCCTTGTTCAACCACTGACCAAAACATGCTCTCTCAACAGGTTTGCTCAGCATAGTTGCAGAATAAAACACGGGTTGTCTCTATGGATGTTGAAGAAATACAAATGTACCTGAGTGGGTGTCTTTCTTGTTATGAAAGAGATTCTTCGGGAAGGTTCTGGTGATGAATTCCCTCAAACAGGGGACAAGGTTTATGTCCATTATGTCGGCACTCTGACGGACGGTTCAGTGTTCGATTCCAGTCGGGAACGAGATGAGCAAGTAAAACTGACGCTGGTTTTAGAGAGAAAAACTTAATTCATTCACTTTTCATTTATTTTAAATGGTCATGATGAATGTATTTTCCTACGGTCGAATGATTTGGTATTTTATTCAACCTTCTGTCACAGCCAGTAAGTTATTGAGTTTTAACTGGAATAATTTTGAGTCGATGTTCATAACATTTGCATTATTTAATATACCCGATGTGCAAGTATTTTTGAGAACTTTTTATCCATATGTACTGAACCCCTACACAGGGAACCAAACATTACAAAAATCCTGACAATATGTACTGTACGGGTAGTTAAATCAATAACTTTTGAGCTTAACTTTTAATATGCACAATTCAGTTTTATTGTAACAGTTGACAAATAAATTATTAAATAAATTCACACATGCTTCACTTGGATGTTTGAATTTTTTTAATGAATGCAACAATTTTCTTTGGTTATCTTATAAATGAAGGTCTCATCATAGATACCTTCGGTTTGGAGAAAGGGATGAAATAACTCCAATATGGCTACTGTTCGTTTACCCATTATGTAGCAAAATTCTTTTTTTAAGTATGGATTTGTATATAAATGCACATTCTGTCATAATCATTACCGTGATTATTTTTAAAAGTTCTTAATTTAAAAAAAAAAAGTTGAAATTTGTAAAAAAAAAAAAAAAAATGTATATGCTGAGAAAGATATTATGAATTCTACACGTTGCTTAGCAACCTTCACCGTCTCCTTCCTCGGAACTAGTGATCACGTGACAACACAACGATTAAACATAGTAGCAGTAGTAATAAATTAATATTTTTTTTAAATATATAAATTAAATTAATTAATTAAACAAAAAAAGTGACACTTACTGATAAAGGCGGTTATTTTGTTGTTTTTATTTAATAATAATTTGCCAATCTTCATTTTTATTCATACCTATTTTCCCGGAGAAAGATCACGTGATAGCGAAATTTCTGGAAAAATCTGCTACTAAACACACAGTAAGCGATTGGTGTTGATGCACGCTTTGTGCTGTCTTTTATTTTAATACCGTAAAAGGTAAAAAAAAAATATATATATATAAGTAATCTATTTAATTTTTTTCGTTTGCTAAAATGTTTATTGAAAGTCTTGTAAAAACCGACATTTCTATTCATCTTTTTTTCTGAAAAGAAAGTAATTTACTGCATACTCTACTTTGCAACTTGTCTTTCTCTAGGTTCAGCTATTCGTTACTTAGTGTACGTTTTGTTACTTTTGTATCAAAATTACAGGTTTTGCGGATTAGTAGCGGTGATATTCTGCCAGTTGTGGTTCCAAAATGACCCAGGAGGAAGTTACCGGTATTGATGTGACTCCCGAGAAGAATGGAGGTGTTATGAAAGAGATTCTTCGGGAAGGTTCTGGTGATGAATTCCCTCAAACAGGGGACAAGGTTTATGTCCATTATGTCGGCACTCTGACGGACGGTTCAGTGTTCGATTCCAGTCGGGAACGAGATGAAAAGTTTAGCTTCAGTTTGGGGAAAGGTAACGTTACCATTTTTTTTTTTTTTTAATTTTAATGATTGATCACCATGTCGTTATCGATCGCGCCCTTTTAAAAAAAAGGTCATCAGATTTTTAATCGATAAATAAACGTTGAAAAGTTAAATGAACGCTGTTAAAATTCAAAATGTCTGCATTTATTTGGAATAAAATTTAAAGAAAAAAAAAAAAAAAAAAATGTGGATAATTGATTTTATTTTTTTTTTTTTTTTTTTTTTTAAACTTGAGATCCAAAGTTTTTATTTTAACACAATAACACGTGTGTGTGAATATGAGTTGAGATCAAATGCAGATTGCAATCCCACAATTAAATAACATTTTTTTTCTTTCATATATAATATTAAAATAAATTCTCCGTATCTTATTTTTATTTATTTCTTTATCCTGACCTAGTATTAGAGGGCAAAAATAAGAAAAACCAAACTAGGTTACAATACATTATTATTCAAAGCTATTATTTCATGATTTTTATTATTTTATGTTCATTTTATGGCCCCCACCTCAAAAAAATCCTCATAAAATGTGGACTGCTCAGAACATGATTATCGAAAAATATCCAGTAACATTTCACAAAATTTGTGGATGTTGTAATCCCAAATCATTTTTAATTTTGTCCCTTCCCCAGAAATAAACTTACTTTTTTACAGGTAAAATTTTAGTTAGAATTATACTTAGATTGTAAAAATGCCACCTATTGCTTCATAAAAATAAAATCTAAAAATCCTTATTTTTAACAAAATGACTTAACCTAATTTTCTTTTTAGAAATTCACTTTGCTTGTAGTATAAAAAATCAACTTCTTTTTTTTTTATTTAGTAAATATTTGATATCTTACCAAAAATGTCTTGTAAGTTATTTCTTTGTAGTTTTCACCTTTTATCACCAATATTGCTACTGAATTTAATTTTGGGACAGTTTTGTTTGACTCGTGATTATATAGCAAAATGTTTTACGATTCGAGGCAGACTTACGTTAAGAAAAGAAAATGATATTGATTTAAAAATAAAATGAATTCTCCAAAGAGTTTTAAACACAAGCCATACAAAAATCAATTTCTCGAAATTAAATAAGTGGGAGGGTAACAGATGTTTTATAGTGATTTTCCAAGCATAGCTTAGATGTGGCACAAGGCCGAAATTAGGGGGCACCCAGTGAGAATCGAACCATTACACCATCTCGAGGTGCATATGGGCAGCAAATTATCTTTTAGGCATGTCTGCTTATTTTTAGCATAATCTCTTCATATTCACGAATATTTTTCCCAATCAAATATAAGTACTTTCCGATATCATCATGATAAAAATCACTTATAAAAAAAAAAAATAACGTATAAACGAAAATGTACATTCCCCCCCCCAAGATTTTCTTAAAAATAAAAAAAAAAAGATTCTAAATTCATTTGTTGTGAACAAGTCAAGAAAGTTTCATTAAAATCCGACAATTTTTTTGTAAGAATTTCCAAATCAATGTTTTTCACCTGAAAAGAAAAAAAGACGCTGCTGACATTTGCCAAATAAATGGTTACCGATTCGATGCTCTAAGAAAAACATTTTAACCAAAATTTTAAAGGTTCTAAAAAGCACCAAAATAATGGAAAAAAAATCCTTTGGTCTTTCATCCTCTTCATTAAAGATTTTAATAAATCTTTCTTGAGTTTTACTTTTGGGGACATTTTTTTTTTTCGTCATGCATGCAGCATGCTTCTTAAAACAAAAGTAAATGTGTTGAGATAATTTTATCTTTCCTTTCTTACATCACTATCAACCAATAAATTGTACAAGATTTAAATAAAAAATATCTTCATTATATTTTGTTATATTAAAACTTAAGACTAAAAATTTTAAACAAACCTTGTGACTGCATTTGAAGTTTTTTTTTTTTTTCCTCGTAGCTCAACACAAACAGATTGAATTTTCCTTTCATCTAGAAATTTAGATTTTTTTTTTCTTTTAGAAAATAAAGATTTATTTAATCTAATACAGAAATTGAATTAATGCTGTAATTATGTCTATTACAAAACTATAATAGAAACTAGAATATTTAATTTCCTTGTTTCGATATCGATCTTCAAGTAATCAATGAAAAGCGGTTTTGGTTTTTATTAACAAGGAAAAGGTTAACTTAAGATTCAAAAAATCAAACCTAAGAACAGCCTTTTCTCTTTCTTTTTATTTACTTAAATGATTTCTCGTTGTGTTGAAGGGGTAAAAAAGCTATTTTCAACTAATTTCCATCCTTACGTTTTCTCAAAAAAAAATATACGTGGGGTGCTAAATCTTCTTGACTCTAAAAAAAAAAAAAAAAATTATGAATTTTTAACAATTAGGTCGAGCCGGGAACTTTTCAGCACCTAAAATAAATAAATCATATACGTCCTCTGGTTTCTGAAATTCAACTTTTGATTATAAATTTTTTGATAAACAAGCGACAAGCATTTTTATACTTATTGAAAAATGTCATTTTAAATTTCAGTTGGAATCTCACGTACGCACTTTTTTTTTTTACTCGTCTACTTGTCTTCAGTATTGTAAACGAGTCACATGAGCTTGTCTTTGTTATCTATCAGATAACAAAGACTTAAATGCCGAGGTGCACAAGATGATTTTGTTTAATGTTTAATTTATCCATATACAGATTAAAGCAAAATGTTTTTGTCATCCAAATTAAAATCTTGCTTTAATAATCTGTTCTAAGTTCAGATTTGGCGGAGGATGGAAGAAAAAACGATTTCTTTCCTATTCGCCATATTTGACGATATTAAAAGGGAAAATATCTGTTACCAAATTAAACAATAATTGCATATTTTTTTATTACCTGTGTACAGTGACAAACACAGGTACGTATTGCAATTGAATCTGATCCATAAATTTGACGTGTTTTAAAATGGCATTAATTTTCTATTGACACTTTTCCTCTATCGAACAAAAAAACACTGATATTCAATTTCGACATTTATATTGAAAGATGTATTGTAAATTATAGCATTTTTTTAAAAAATGCCACTTATTTTTACAATTTTTCTTTCTCATTAATTCCCTAATTTATTTTTTTTTATTCCTAATGAATTCGGAAGAGAAAAAAAAATACCTTTTTTTTTTTTTTTTAACACTTCGTTCGTGTGTGTGTGTGTATTTCGTAGATAACTTTCACTTTTTAAAGTTATTTTTCTTTTCACACACACAAACAATCTTTTAACTTCCCTGATTGTGTGGTTGGGGGAGGTGGGATCTGTAGAAATTTGTTCCGATTTCTACTTGAAATAAAAGGAAATCCACACTTGTTGGATCTTTGCAGACACTGTTTTAGCATCCCACTTTATTTCTTTTTCCGGAATCTCTAAAAGACATTGTCTGTCTGTTTGTACTACAACCGAGCGCTTTTTTTTTTTTTTTTTTTTTTTTTTAGAATTGGTAGAAACCATAAAACACCAAACCTCAATAAAATCCACGCACTTTTTTTTTGTGTGTGTTCGGTGGGTTTAAAAAAATAAAAGCGTATAAATCGAGGATTAAAAAATGATAAAAAAAAAACAAATAGGATAAAGAAAGCATAAGAAAAACTAAATAAAGCGTAAACAAAAATAATAAAAACAATAAAAAAAAAAAAACAAGAATAAAATGCGAAATAAATGTTAGCAAAGATGTCCAACAAGCAAGCACATTTCCGGTTAAAAAAAAAAAAATTTTTTTTTTTTTTTTTTTTTTAAACAATTTTAATTACAATAATGAAGTGAAATCTTTTAAAATTCAGTTTCAGTCTTGTAAATTTTAGAAAATATTAAGTGAAGCTTTTTAATCATAAATCTAAAAAGCTTTTTACATTGTTTCTGGATGTATATAAACATGCCATTTTTAAATATACATATTATTTAATATAAATTTATTTATATCTTCAGACATGACGTTATCATTAAAAAGTCACGTGTCTTAAGAGTTGTTCAAAATTTTCTGAGGTAATATAAAAATAAATAACAATTTCACGATGTACGTAAAAATTATAGGTACCTCTATTATGAAATTTTATGTTAGTTACATTAATTTTTATATTATGAAATTTTAAATTTATTTTGTTATGTAATATCTAGAAAGCATCTTCAAACGTAAGGCTATAAATATACTTGATAATAAAATATTAGTTTGCTTAAAATTCATAAAATCTTTCACTTCTGTTCATCCATCCGATTTCTTCTGACCTCATCCGTCAATACCACCAATCAACACCTGACAAACGAGTCACTGTAGTTAAGAAATGCTTTTTTTTCTACTAAAAAGTAAGTAGTTTGTTTCAAATTCGATTAAGTAAACTGAAGTTTATCCCAATCAATATAAATTCAGTTTTAAATGCACCAAAGTATTTTGTTTACTGGGTATAGTAAATTTATTACCTTTTGAATTAAAGCTAAAAAGAAGGCTGAAGAAGTATTCTAGATCTGGAACAGGTGGTCAATTATCAAAGAGAATTTCTGAATTCTCTAGAACGTCTTAAACTATCTTCACATAGACTGAAACTCAAGATGGTGGTGGTGCCTATAATCCTATTATGGAATCTGGACCAACCAAGACTTTGTAGTGTCACCAGACTGGTGGTTAAGAAGTTGATGTCACATGTAATTGAGGCATCAGTTCTTACTGGGTATATAAAAGGTGAAGATATCTTTATTCCATCAAGGTCAGATATTCCATTCACATTTAGGAGACTTCAGTTTCCAATAAGGATAAGTTTTGCTATGTCTGTTAACAAAGCACAAGGCCATACTATCAGTTACTGGACTAGTTATAAGAATCCCATTTCTCTCATGGGTAGTTAGTTGTTCACATGTGGGAAGTAAAACCAATTTCTTTATGCTCCACAAGGGAAGACAAAGAATATTGTATAATAAGAAGTATTGTAATGTGAACTGTTTGAAGATTTCTTTGTGTTTGGCTAGATGAATTTAAACTTTTATTGTTATAGATTTATTTTTAATTTTTTAAATTCCAATTTAATTAAAAAGAATTTTTACAATGTCTTGTACAAATTAGAGCTGTTTAATCTTTGGCAGTATCAAACCTGTTTTTATGCTTTATTGGAAATTCTCTAGGCCTCTTTACATGCAAATGTCATGCAAAAATCTTTTAATATTATTTTATTGTACTACAATTGTCTGAAGTTCAATTTTGGATTCTCACAGAATGTCTGTTAGTGCTTTTGTGTCTTTTTTTTTTTTTTTTTTTTACTAAAACTCTTGGAGTGGGGAAGAATAGCACAATGATATTGATTCTTCTACCAAATAGTCTACTTCTGCTATTCCTCCATAAGTGTTTGGGTTTTCCCTACCACTCCCAACATTGTCATCTTTCTTGGAAATTGGTAATTTCCCAATTAAACACACATTTGCTTTGTATCTTTTGGCTTCCTTAGTTTATATATATTAACTGGAAAGAAATATTTTTAATTATTTTATTGAATTTTTAAATCCTTTCTGGAATGTTTGAAATTTTGGCTAAAAAAATTTTATTTGCATAAGCAGGAAATTTTGCAGTAAAAAAAAAAAAAAACAAAAAAAAAAAACATTCTTTTGGAAATCCCTGCAAAATTCAAATAATTGTCAAATTAAATTTTCAGGCCTTATTCACAAATTTTTTTTTTTTTTTTTTTTACCCATACACCCATGTAAATTTTATGAAATTTTGAGAAAGTAAAATTCCACCCTCTTAGTTAAAAGCAGAATTCATTAGAGAATTTAAATCAATGTTTTTTATCAAACAGAAACATCATTTAGCAGGAATCTACTCTGAATCCTGCAATAAAACTGACATTCGTGAGATTGCTGAAAAAAATGAGTATAACCTGATAAAACAACCTTAAACCTGAAAATAATTTATCATCTAAACGTTTATTATAAAGAGGAAAGATCAAAGTATTTTATGATTTTCACATTTTTTTAATCATTCCTAACATGTCCAAAAAAAAATAAAATTCTTTTTTTTTTCTTTTTTTTTTTCTTCTTCTTCTTGATTTTAAAACAAACGTTTCTTTATGCGCTGAAAAAATGTAGTTTAAAAACAAGACTGCAAGTCTTAACAGCGCTAACATGTAACTATGTGATGATTGATGCTTTCAGCATGTATTGACTGCTTACGCAAGGTAAAGTTTTTGTACAAAAGGACAGAAGTGACATAATTTAGCTGCTTTTACCTCATTATTTTTAAGGAGGAATTTTTAAACTATGACTTTAGGGTGAGATAATCTTTCATAAAGATACATAAAATTAATTAGGTACCTTTCTTATTCATAAAATATAATTTTATATACATTTATTACATTTTATGGTATTGTATTTCCACTCATTTTATTAATTTTGATATTCCATTTATGGAAAAATGTCATAACTGAGATATAAAAATAACACCATATAAATTTCATAAGATAGGTACATAATACTTTGTAGGTACCTTTATCATTTGCAATATTCAATTTTTTTTCTCTTTTCATGTTTCCAGTCTTCCATATATTTGAATTATGGTCGTTTTATGGACACAGAAAAAACACATTAGATTTTCAACTATTTGGGGTTTGCTGATTGTAACCAGCTTTACAGTATCTGTAATGATATATATCTACTTAATATCACCATCGCCTGAATTTTCATTCATTTTAGAATATTTAACAACTTTAATGTAAAAAAAAATAAAATAATTTAAGAAATAATAAATAATCGTAAAAATTTATTTTTCATCAAAAACGTTTTTTGCTTTCAGACGATATTATCCATATTCATAAAACAAGTAAAAGGAATTAAAAGCTTTTGAAATTAAATATCTTTTTTATTGAGTTTTGTATGTTACAATTCGGAGCTGATTTTAAGGTGGGTGGGTCAACTAAAAAAAGTATGATTTACTTTCCTCAAAGCCTTGTGCTTTTAACTAATTAATAACTAAAAATGTACACATTTGAATTTCAAGACTTTTCATAAAATTTAAAGTTATTGGGGTAATAAATATTTTTTTAAAAAAAAATTATAATTTCCATCATTTGTGAATAGTTTCTGAAAGTTTCATTAAAATCTGACAATTATTTTTATTTTTGCAAGATTTTCAAAATTAATGTGTCATGAAAAAAATGCACAAAAAAATTTGCTATGTTATTTACTAGTAGTTCCGCTGATGAAGAGAAACAAGGTTTTTCAATCAAAAGTTAGAATGTTCTAATAAAGACAGAAAAAATTTTTTTAATAATTAAAAATTTTGTTCTTTCCTCTTAATAAGTGACAAACATTTTGACGATAAAATTTTGTTTTCATCAAGTTTAAGGCAGTTATCCTGCTATAATTTTCCAGTGATCTCACACCAGTACCTATTTTAATAGCTTTTATAAATAAGATATATTAGGAACACCATTGTCTTAAGAAAATGTCTTAGGATAACTTAAGTTTTAAAACTTTAAAATTGTGTATTAATTTCACCCTTTTAGGTATTATTAATTAAAAACTATATTTACTAATCATAAATGGAAAGAATTAATACAAGCCATGAAACACCATGTTTTATCTTTTTGTTTGTTTCTTTCAGGGTCTGTGATAAAAGCATGGGATTTAGGTGTGGCCACGATGAAAAAGGGTGAACTTGCCCGTCTGACATGCAAACCTGAATATGCATATGGCAAAAATGGTTCCCCTCCCAAAATTGGACCTGATGCCACCTTGATATTTGAGGTTGAACTCTTTGAATGGAAAAGTAAGTTTGTTCTTGACCAATTAGAGTATTTTCATTTACTCATCATACCTATTTTGTGATATCAAGAGAAGTAATTCTGCTTTGAAACATTGTGTTTATTCAAGGGACAACGAGAAAGGGATATATATATGCATCAATAAATCATTTTTACAGCATAACCTTTCTCTTCAATGCACTTAATTCAGTAGTGAACAATAATCAAACACCTAATATAATTTTAGATCAAAATAACTAACTTAATTCAAACACTTATAATTATCAAATTGGGTGTTAAAAATATCTATGGAAAATTTTAACAATGGTATTTTTAGTTTGAACAAATATTCATAAACTACAGCACCTTCTTTGATGAATTTCATCTTACCATCAAGAAACTGATTAGACAACTGGAAATTGTTCAAATATAAAGATAAATGCTAAATTCATAGGTGGTTAGTCTTGACTCACTTCATAAAGGTTAGTTCAGTTCATTGCTCACTGGCATAAAAATAGCTTACAAATATTTCAATGTGAGAAAAATCTGCAACAGCTCTTTTTTACTGTGACACACACACACACACACACACACATGGTGAGGCAAAAGTCGTACACTAGGGGGTTAATGGATAGATTGAAGAGGTCCTTTTGAGTGGTTAATAATGTCACCAGACCTCATACCCTTGGATTTTTTTATATGGGGCCATTTAAAATCTGTTGTTTGAGATGTGCTCAAGAAGTATATTTATTCAATGAAAAAAGTGTGTGTGTGTGTGTTGATTTAGACATAGTATACTTTGAAAACTTTGTGCCTGGTACATCTTCTGATTTGTTGTTTGTGCTCAGAATATATACATCTGTGTGTCTGCCATAGTTTGTATGCAGTTTTGTGTTAAGATATTCAAATGTTATGAGAATCAAAATAATTTCTTTTTCAGGAGAAGATATTTCACCCAATAAAGATGAAGGCATTTTGAGGCGTATTGTTAAAAGTGGTGAAGGTCGCAAAACTCCAAATGAAGGTGCCACTGTAAATGGTGAGAGGTTTAACTTTTCTTTTTCCCATTTCCACATATTGTCTGCAATCAAAATAGTTTCTATAATCTTGCCTACTCATTAGAAAATACATGGAAACATTTTGCCAAATAGTAATCTTTTAACTTGTTTCATACTTAAGGGTTTTTTTTTTTTTTCCTCTATATTCTCAATTCTATAAATGACAATTTCTCTTTGTTCCAAGGGCTAATGTTTTATTCAATCTCAGACTGATTTTTCAGCTATAATTCCTGCCATTTGGCTTATGGCCTTCATTTAAAGGATATATATACATTACATATTGAAATTAGCCATGATCTCGGATTATAAAATAAAATTGTGTAGGTGGGGTGGATTACCTAAATTTACCACACATGCATACAGATGTGTATTAATTTAATTCTTGAGCTAATGTATTGGATTAGTATGGAACCTTTTTAAGCGTCTAACAAAAAAAAAAAAAATTAAGCAAATGAATTCCTTCAGTTTAATTAAACTGTGTCTAGAGATTATATGCAAAAGAGGTATTGTCAAATATTTTATGTAAAATTCATAGATATGTTATCCAATGAAATAATTTTTCTACATATAGCGAGTATAGCATGAAAGCAATTAAGTCCCAATTTTCAATTTCAGATTGATATTTAGTATTTTTTCAGTAATTATAGCAATTTGCAGTGTCAAGAGATCATTTGCAAGAACTAGAATTTAGTATTATGGCTCGTAAAAAAGAACTAGATAATCAAAGAAATTAGCAAAGGAAAGTCTTCGCTTCAAATTTCTAAGGATTTCAAAAGGGATCATCGAACAATCAAGAAAATGTCAAATGGGAATTCAACCAAGGAAAAAAAAAGTCTCAGGCTGAATTCAGGAATTTAACAAAGCGAGATCTATCACATATCCGAAGAGAATTAATAAGAAACCCAAAAGCGTCAAGTGCGTTCATATTTGAGTCCGCTGGAGCTTCTATGGTGTCAAGGGAAACAAGGTGTAAAACATTAAGGAAGTTTGCTGATGTAAAATATCAAATAAAGAAACCCATTTTAAAAAAAAAAAAAAACATAAGAAGATTGCAGTGGGCAAAAAAATACATGAAAACTGATTTCAGTTAAGTGCTTTTTACAGACGAATCAAGGATCACCCTTGATGGACCCGATGGATGGGCTCGAGGATGGGTTTGCAAGCAACATGACTCGAGAAGATTTTTTAAATGCCAACAAGGCGGCAGTGGGATTATTGGTAATAAACTAAACTGAAACTGAAAGACGGGGTTAAAATGAATTCCAAAAGTTACTGTGATTTTCTAGAGCAATATTTCTTTGAATGGCTTGATAACCAGTCTTTAGCTAAGCGTAGATATATGATCTTTATGCAAGACAAAGCACCAAGTCGTGCATCAAAGTTTACTAAATCCTGGTTGAAAGAAAATGGATTTATTGAAGATTCTCTCACGGACTGGCCTTCAAATAGCTGTGACTTGAATCCCATTGAGAACCTGTGGAGCATAATCAAGATAGATATTTATTCTAATGGAAGGCAATTCAACAGCAAGTGTGACCTCTTGGAGGCAGTTAAAGTTGCTGCAAACAACTTACCAACCACTAAAATTGCAAATCTAACATCAGATGTTGACAATAGGCTGCTAAGAGTTATTGAAAAGAAAGCATTTGTGCAATAAATTTTAGGAGGTTCTTATTTTTTGTTAATATATCTTTTTATTTTTAAAATAAAATTTTTTTTTTTTTTTTTTTTTTTTTTTCCTTTAAGAAATTGAATTTGTTCTAAAATCTTTTCATATTTTTTTTACATTAGTTTTACAAGGTATAATAAAGTGAAAGTATCAAAATAAATAGTTGCAAATAAACTACTGACAGTCAAATTAGTCTGTTTTGTTAACTTAGTAAAAAAAAATTTCCAACCAAAAACAATAGTTTCCTCTATCACTATATATCTAAGTTAATAATATTGAGTAGAATCTAAACATCATAAGAGGACTTTTAACATTAAAGACACAACTCTTTATACCAATTCATAACTTGCATATAATCTCTAGATGCAGTTTATTTCTGGTATTAGAATTCAAGCCTTTTTATTTTTACTTTGCTAATAGTTTTTAAATCTAATTATGTTATGTGTTGATGATCTTGTTAATGTTATGATTATCTTGATAAATCTTTATGTTGCAGTTCATTACATTGGCTATCATGAAAACCAAAAATTTGAAGAACGTGATGTCACTTTTGTGGTCGGTGAAGGTATGGCTGAAGGTGTCATAGATGGTCTGGATATGGCAATGAAAAAAATGAATGAAAATGAAACTTCTATTCTTGAAATTGCACCCAAGTATGCCTATGGCAAAGAAGGAAATGCAGAGTTTAACATTCCTCCAGATGCTCACCTTAAGTATAATGTTACACTCAAAAGTTTTCAAAAGGTAAACATCTTTAGAAGAAAAAAAAACTAGTTTGCTTGCAGTTGGAGTGTATTCTAAACTTTTCTCCTGGCAACGTTTTTTAACATTACTGTGACCTCACTGCTATACAGAAACTATAAATCAAAACTTTCTTTCCTGTTCGTTCACTTGCTGACACTTATTTACAAGGGGGGAAAAAATTGTTGCTCATCATTCTTTCCAGCTTTTATGCAACCCCCACTTATCCATAATGCATTGGTACTTACCTATATATAAGTGTTACTTCCACTTTTATAGCTTTCTACTTCCAGTGCCAGTAAGTTTTCACTTTTCTCTCATCTTTTTACCACGCATCCCCTTGATCTCAGCAAGATCATCCTCATACCACATAGTCATGTGCCCAATAAGTTGGCTATGCCTTTCTTCCTGACCTACATGCTGGATCATCTGTATCACTATCACCTTGCCTCGTTGTACTATCACCATTATCTGGCAAGTCATTCACTCGTCGTGCATCCAGCATGTGCCAAGGGGTTACATGTACAGAAACATTCTGTGACTGTATTCCAGTCACCATTCCTTGACCCCATTGTGTGGTGCAGCGAGCACAGGTCAGCTTTATCCATACCTCCTCCAACTTGAATTGAACCAGGTCACCTTGCTACTGCTTCAATTTCAGGGATGATCAGTGGATGCCTCCACTCATATAGTGTACTGTGATACAGAATCCTCTTCCTGGCCTACCCAAGGGGACATTAAATCAGTAGACCACCTCAATTAGTGATATGTGGTGCCTCTCTACAATGCCATAGGTCCATATGCATCCCTGTCATATGCTCACACATTCCACCTATCTAGTACTGACTTGGAAGCTGGGCTATTATCCATTAGCATCTCTTCTTTCACTGGGCCTCTTTCTAAGAATAGCTTGTTTAGCATAAATGCAACCACTGTCCCCATTTTTCCCTTTAATTCCTGCCATATGACTATTTTGCCAGGCCCACAATCAGCCATCAGATATGACCCATTTTGCTAATGCATGACAACAATTGCTAGTCTTGCCCAATTGTTTGAGACCTGAACTGCACAGGCCTCCTGCATACTTGGTGCCGGATCAGTTGATGTGCATGCTTGCACTACTCTATGCACATCTCCCTTAGAGATGGTCAGGTCTACCTTCTTGGCCAAATATAACATCCTCTTGACACCCATCTTCAACATTGTACATAGCATGTTCTTTGGCTGCATCAAGCATCTTTACAAGCATATCTGCTGCTCCCTTAGTCCATATTTTGCTCTCCTTCATAAGACTCGACCAACGCCAACGCTGTTGCCAAGTCCATCTTCGTCTCTGTTCTTCTGCTTCCAATTCTGCTACATATATAGTTGGCATCCGTTTTCTTTCTCAACCAAGCAGTGTCCTGTTCTTTGACACTCTCTACCTCCAATACAACTCCCATTGCTATGCTACTTGCATCACACCAAACTATGCACCATCATCCACCTTTTGGTACGTGCCATTTTCCTCTCACTCCATCTCCTTGGTGATATCCTTTATCATCTCGAGTGTTCTGTCACTTGCTCAATCGTCCCATCTTATCTCCTCCACCTATCTTTTTATATAGCTGTATGCAACTCTCAACCATCCAGCCACGGGGTAGTGACCCACCAGCTTGCATGTCAAAAACAATTCTTGTTTACTCATTTTATCCATCACAGGTGGAATCTCCTTACCCTTTCAGAACACCGAATCTCCAGTTTCTTTATCCTTCTGCAACTAGCCAGAGTGCTGCTCCCCCATCAAGTGACTCTGAAGGTTTTGATATTAATCCATATTTTTAGAGGTAGCATCTTTTTCTGTGTGCACAATCTCATCCACCAGGATATCATCAATATAGGAGTTTGTGGCCTGCCCTATTCTCTCCTCCTGCTTCAGTACAGTCTTGAGCACTGCCACCATGATTTTTGGTGTGATGTTCAACCCAAACTCCAATCTAGTAAGGCAATAGGTGGCCCACTTGTACCTTACAAGTTGGTACTGCTATAGCTTCTCGGGCACATGTAATTGCAGGTATGCTGATTTCAGATCTACAATTGTAGCAGTACCCATCATCTGTTTTCACTCTTGCATGGTTTCTCCACATCAATATCATCACTTCCCGTGTGGCATGATACATATGTATTTAATTCCCTAAAGTCTAGTACTGATCTAACTTTATGTTGGTTAAGTCATTAGTGGCAATTTTCCACTTTGGACTTTCTCCTTCCAAGGTACAAGGATGCCTTCTTCAACCCATCTATCCATCTCCTTTTCAAACTCCATTCCTCGTCTTGCACGGAATTCTCATATATGCTCACCCTGTTCTTAATATGGGTGGTCTGCTTGTCCAGCACCATTCTATGGTCTGCTTTTTGCCATCAAGTTATTCCTTCTGAACTTTTAGCCAAGCCTGTCCACCACCTTGTGGTTGCAGAGTCACTACACTTAACATCCTACCAGATTTAACCTGATTTCGGTTAATGTTGGCTACAGCCCCCCCTCCCAAGTTTATCAATCGCATTCATACAATGACATTGCACTCTGAAACAATCACCTTTTATCTTGAATTAAACCTTTTCTACTAATGTCACAGTGCTAAGGCCCTTGCATGCAACCTCTCTCTCTCTCTCTCTCCCCCCCCCCATTGGCTGCTTTTCTAAGTGTTCCTCCACTCAGACTTTTCACCAACCAAGGAGTCACCAGTCGTAGTGCATCTAGCATCCTCTGGTGCTCTTGCTTTCCTTCTCATTACAATTGGTAAGGTTTGGTGTCACACTGATGATGATCCATTGGGGTAGCTACTGGTGCAGTAACTCCCTCTTGCCTGTTTCCCTGGGGACAAAATCTGACAATGTGTCCCTTCTCTCCACATCCATAACACTTCACAGCAGGCTACGGTCGTTCATTACAATCTTTTATCATGTGCGGCCCACAACACCAAAAAAATGGTGCCGCTAAACCTTGTCTGTTATGTTCCTGTTTTTTAGCAGTCAGGCTTTGTGCCACAGCTCTCATTCCAAGGGATTTTCCTGCTCTATTCATGATTAGCACCTTAGCGGCAGTTATCAGTTTGCTCATCTCTTTAGTTTCTACCTGGGGCAGCTGCTGAAGTGCAGTTGATATTTGCTCTGGGAATTGGTGCACAAATGCCAGCTTTACCATCTTCTCCACACTCCTTCCCCCAGATCCTCCTAATCCTATCACTAGATTCACTAGTCCATTTAGATTTTATCAATTTTTGATATGCTATGAAAGGTCCATCCATAAAAGCTTTGAGTAGAATTGACAATCATCTCGGCATGTCATATCAATCTCATTCATCTCTATGTAGAGAGCCAATGCATCCTCCTCTAGGTACAGTGGGATCAGACTTGCAAGGTCAATGATATGTTACAACCAACTTCACTTTTGTGAGTCGTACCACTGCATCTCCTTGTCCATCAAAGGGTCTGATTGTCATTGGCTACATACATTATTTTTTTCTCTCTCTCTCTCTCTATCTCTATTTCTCTCTCTCTCTCTCTCTCTCTGATGAAATGCCAAAATATCTTGTGGTCTCAATATACAGAGGCGATAAAGAAAAATTTCTTTTTCTTTCTTTCCTCTTCCTTTTCTTTCCTACCCGTTCACTTGCCAGCATCTGTTTGCAAAGAAAAAAAAAAAACTAACTCTTTCTACCACTCACCCATAATGTATTGGCACTTCCCTACACAAGTGTTACCTCCACTTTTCTCATTTTATTTACCACAATTACATGTTTTTTTTTTTTTTTTTTTTTTATTTGAATTTTAAAGCAATAAGTTTGCTCTTATTACTTTATTGACCTCCCCAACTACATGAATTTAAGCATGCTACTAGATTGGCATCTAGGTCTCACCAGATTACTGTTAAAATAGTTAAATGCAGCCACCACTTCTCCAACAGTTTTTCTTGTTCTTCCTGCCTCTGGAACTGTCTTCCAGCACCTTGCTTGGGGTAGAATAATTCAAGTCACTTGACATTATTTTAAGTCAAACTGGAATTTTTTATTATTATTATTATTAAAATACACCTTTAAGTGCTGAATCTAGATGCGTCGTCAGTGTTGTTGCTCCCATGTCATTAGAAGTTTCGGGTCTAAATAAACAACAGACTTCTTCGATGGGCAACCCGACCGAATATGATCAGTATTCGCCTGCACCTAGAACAAAAATTTGCCACTAGCTTTAGGACGTGAATTATATAAGTTGCCCCAGTAAACAACAACCAATCAAGACTTCACTTGGGCTATTCGAAGTTATAAATTAGGTATGCATGGTTGTATTGATCTTCCTACATATGGCCAAGAATGGGTGTTTTTTTTTTTTTTTTTTTTTAGAAAGAAAAGAAAAGAATAAAAACAAACACATAATAAATATATATATATATATATATATATATATATATATATATATATATATATATATATAAAAAAAACAAACGATTTATTATATTACAAACAAACAAAAACAAACGATTTGTTATTTTATTATATTGATATTTTAACTAACTTATTTGTTTGGTCTTTCTTTTTCTTTTTACTTTTTTTTATTATTTTCTTTTCTTTTCTAAACTACACTTAATAAAACGTTTACAATAGTGGTTAAAAAGACAGACTATTTACAACTTTAAAAACTAAGAAAAACATTTAACTAAAATTGCTTTAAAAATAAATTAATCAAACTATTTACATGTTAAGTATTGGTTTAAAAAAAGTGTAAATTTTAAATAATTTACCCCAAAAAAAAAAAAAAATTATCCTTACCAGAAAGAATTCATTTAAAATTAAGAGAAATAACTAAAATTCCTCAAAAATAAATGATCGAGATATTTACATGTCGAAAAATAGTTGAAAGAAAATATAGCATGTAAATTTAGCTAAAATAAGTTACTCCTAAAAATAAAATAAAAAAAAAAAAAAAAATTATCCATGAAGGAAACCGAAAAAATTAAAATTCCGTTTTTAAAAAAAATAAAAATAAAAAATAAAAGGGAAAAATTGTAAGAATGTTTATATCTATTTTATTATAGAGCAATAAATTGCTAAATTTAAAGATTTACAACAAATCTGATACAAGTAGTTGTTTCTGTGAATTCATGTAATATTTGGCTTATCAGAATTAGCTTACAACTGAAACGGATTAAATTAGCTAAGAGAATCAGTTTTGATCTTAATCTGTTTTTTTAAAAGAACGGTTCTATTTAACCATTTTGAAAGTGGAAAATGGATGCTGATGAGAAATTACAACAAGCTGAAATTGCCAAAGAAAAAGGAACTAAATACTTCAAGGTAGTTGGCTTTTTAATTACCAAAGTTGATTTCCCAATCTACTTTTTGATCCTTACTTTCAAGGCTTATAATCTCTTTTGAGAGAGAACAAATGATCACTTGTGTTTATTTAATCTCCTCAGAGCATGCAAATTAAATACCGAGTTCTGTATATTTTGTTTTTATGTCCTGAATAACCTGTTTAGGGGCAAACGTTATCGCCAATCACAGCTGGGGTATAAATTTATTTTAACCAACCAACCAGCGCAACAATTGAGTCTTGGTAGCATTCTTGTAATAAAAAAAATAATTTGCAGTTTTGCAATAAAAGATTGTTGGCTTTTACAGACTATTTTCCATGAATACATTTCTAACCATTTCATGTTTTGACTCTGTTTTAATTTTTACACAGGAAGAAAAATATACATTAGCAACAAAACAATACAAGAAAATTATCAACTACCTTGACACAGAATCTTCATTGGAAGGCCAAGAAGAGGAAAAACGGAAAAGCCTATTATTAGCAGCACATCTAAACATGTCTTTGTGCTATCTTAAGGTTGCAGAGCCTATTCGCGCAATACAAGCCAGTGACAAAGCATTAGAATTGGATGAGAAAAATGTCAAAGGTCTTTTCCGTAGAGGACAGGTAAAATCAAATTAAACAATCAACTTTCTATTCTGCTTGTTTCCCAAAATTTAAAAAAAAATGTCTTCTGATATACTTTCTAAAGATTTGACTCTTTCAAAATTTGTGTGTAAATGATGAATTTTTGCTAAATAAGATGACATTATGGCTCTTTTTTTGCACTGTTCATAGCAAGGAAAGCTACCCAATGCCATTATTGAAATTGCTTCTGGTGTATTAGAATATAAATTGAAAATTACTTATCTGAAACAAATGAGTAAACTCTGTTAAAAAAGTTCAATTTCTCTTCAACATAAACCTGTGTTAATTGGAAGATTATCATACAAAATGTTAATTTGCTGCCTCTTACTAATTTAAGAATTTTTTTTAATCTTTAATATGACAAGTATTTTTTTTTTTTTTTATATATATATATATATATATATATGACAAGTACTGATTCTAAAGGTATAACCCATGCAAAAAGGCAATGGTGAAAAGTTTTTGGCTAAATTAACTTCTGACCAAATGTTCAAACATCTGATTTTTGGGTGAAAAGGATTTCTTGTTTTTTTTAAGAAAAAAAAAAAGATTTCAATATCTTCCACTCTGTATCTACCTATGTAAATATGAAAAACTAAATTTTTCATTTGCCATAAAATATCACAATAATGATAATATTGTGACCTGTCATCTAGTGTTTACATAAAGAACATTCAACATTGAATTATAATATTGTTTTTAACAAGTAATTTTTTATATGTATTTCTATTGTTTATATTTTGGGCTGATGCTAGAAATCAAATTTTCTACAACTTTTTTTATATATATATATATATACAGGCCAAACTAAAAGTGAATGAATATGAAGATGCTCTGAAAGACTTTAACACATTGCTCAAATATGATGCTGACAACAAAGCTGCTAAAAATCACATAATCTTGTGTACAAAGAAAATGAAAGAGTATAAAGTCAAAGAAAAACAACTTTATGCAAATATCTTCAACAAATATTCCATGGAAACTGCCAAGGTTAGTTGAAACTCAGTTTTCTTCTTTCTCTTATCAATACTGTTTGTTTCAGCTTTATTGCCTTTTGTCCTTGGGAAAGGGGCAAATATTTGCAAATCTTGTTCACAAGACCCTTATAAATTAATACTTGCTTCAGTCTAACATCCTCACCAATTCTTTTTGTCAGTTGACAATGAAGTCTTTATACAGGGTGTTCAGAAAGTTATGCACTTACATTTTTATTAACAGACTTGTTTCAATACAGGAGGAGAATATGAATTAAAATTATAAGCAATGTTAAAACCATATGGAGGGGGTCTGAAATATAAAAAATATGATTAGAAAAGTGCAATAAATTTACAAACTCCTTGTATAATGTTCTTTTATCTTGATTAATATGCATTATGTACCTCCACATGATCGCTAAAAAAAAAAAAAAGCGTAGCATGATGAAAAAGATGCCAAACTTGACGAAAACAATTTTATCGTCTAAATGTTTATTATTAAGAAGGGTCAAAGTATTTTTGGTATTTTTATTTTATTTTTATTTTTTTTACATTTTTTTTTTAATCATTCCTAACATGTCTGAAATTTTCATTAAAAAAATTTTTTTTTTAGTCAGCGAAATTTTAAAAAGAAAAACGGAAATCTCATTTTGAAATTCTTTTAAATATCAATTATCATTTTTTTCAAAACTTATTTTAAGAAAAACAAATAATGTTTATTTAAAATATTCTGAACCATCTTTAACTTAGCTTCTGTGCCAAAAAAGATGTAATTTGAAAATAAAACAAAAAGGTCATAAAATTTCATGCCAATGTTAAAAGGTGATGAATGACATATTGACTTGATTCTGTGAGGATAATTTGTTCTGGCGCTACAAGGAAAACTTTGAAATAATTTAAATTGAATACTTGAACATTATTTACCTTGTTATTTTTAAGGGAAACTTTCAGCTCTCTAATTTATTTTATTTATTTTTTATTTTTTTTATTTTATTTATTTTTTTTTTGTACTTGGCTTTCACCTTTACATTTACAATGCTTTATGGAAAATATATTCTAAAGAAATTAAAATAAGACTTAAGAGTGAGATTAAATCTAGCATTTTCATAAAATTAGTTTGGTGGGGGGGTAATAAATATTTTTTTTAAAAAAAAAACTATTAATTTTGATCATATGTGAATAGTTCCTGAAAGTTTCATTAACATCCGACAATTATTTTTATTTTTGCAAGATTTTCCAAATTGATGTGTCATGCCAAAAAAACATGCTTTTACTAGTTCCAGTGATACAAAGAGAAACAAGGTTTTTTAATCAAAATTCAGAATGTTCTAAAAAGAAGGAAAAAACTTTTTCAAATAATTTTAAAAAAAAAAAAAAAACTTTGGTCTTTCCTCTTAATAATAACATGAGCATTTAGATAAAATTTTGTTCAAATAAGGTTAATTTTTTCAGTAAAATACAATTTTTTTTTTTTTTTTTTTTTTTTTGTCTTCTAGAGTCATAAATGATTTCTTTATGCAATTGCTTTTTTTTTTTTTTTTATACAAACTCATTTCACAGGGATACTTGAAGGAGTCTGTTGGAATCTAATTTTACAATAAGATGTTGTGAAAGACAAAAAATATCCATATGGGGATAATGTAATGTATTCTGTCAGCTTGGCCATTTCATGGTTTCAAAAGGATTTGGATTTATGGGGGATGAACTTTTAACATCATTCTAAAACATCTTATCACTCAAAAATATATGTACATATTTGTTAGAATTTATTGATTTATCTGTTTTCCAGTAAATATATCTCAAAAATCAGTTTGTTTACAAATAAAAACAATAGTAGGTGATAAGAAAGTATTTTGGATTTTTAACATTTTTGTACTTTTTTTTTTATTTGAATTACATACTTCAGCTGAGACTGAAACTTGACATTTGAATATTTCACTTCTACTTTACTATTTGAACAATGTTGCTGAGAAAAATAATCTAAATATTTTTATGTCACACTGAGTATTTGAAACTTCCTCATACAAAGGAGTGCATAGATTACATGAGTAATGTATCAGATTAGTGTAATGGCTCAGTCTTCACCTCCACCCAAATGTTTAATAAGGCTCTATTATAAAATGCCAAAAAATGTAAACGTTGCAAATTGAGTAAAAATGTACAAGAGTGGGACTAATATAGAAATATGAATGTTGAGATATCCATTGTTAATGATTTCACTTTGAGCCAATATCTAAATGAAGCCATTTGAATTTAAAAACTGATGTTAAAATTTTGACAAGAGCTCACCAGTTGTCCAATTGTCTACACTTATTTTTACTGCTGAAAAAATCCTGGTGGATAACCTCACCTTCCATGTCACATTGCCATTCCCTTCATCCCTTTGGCGACCAATCTGTAATGTCAATTTTATTAATTTGCATTTTCCTTTTTTGTCTGCTTCAATAGAGGAAGAAAACTCATCAATTTATTATTATTATTATTATTCTCTATTCACAAAATTTACCTGGGATACGAAAATGTTTTGAGGTTGAGTTATTCTGTTTGTAATCTGGTACTCATGTCAACAATATCATTCCTCTGCTTCCTTCCCCATGCAATAAAAATCCATAAGAGTCTATATTTTAAAATATAAACTCAGTGTTTCAATAACTGGCTTGAGTGGTGGTATACATCTTTTTTTTTTTTTTTTTTTTTTTTAACTTCAGATTTGTGGCTCATAATTGGCTATTTTATTCAAAACAAAAGTCTTTCTGAAGAAAAAAAATCACTACACAATTAAATATAAAATTTTGCTCAAGCTTAATATTGTAAATAATGGTTTTCTTTTTGTGGTGTTCACTTACAAGCATCTTGCTCAATAAGTATCTAAAACCTTTTATAATTTATAAAGCAATGATGTTATTACAGTACTGCTGTCCAAGTAAATATTAGTATATTGAAATATAGAGGCTTAATAAAGAGGTCCTGTTGAGTGTCCACAATTTTGGATATTTTTTTATGTGGGGCCATTTTGAAATCAGATGTTTGGGATGTATCCAAGAAATATTCAGGCACTTAATTAAATATGGATGCAGTAAAATGACACTCTGATGTGTTAATGAATCCTGCAGGCACAGAATTGAAATCTTTTGAAAAAAGAGTTCATTTTGAACATCACATAACAAATAAGTAGTAAATAAAATTTTCATGTGTAATCATACTTTTAATAAATTATCCCTATGATGTGTGGCCTTTGCCTCACTGTGAGTGATAGATATATATAATATTAATTGGATTGATGTGAGTTTGTGACCTTGGGTTTCATGCTATTTGCAATCATCAGACAAACTGATTAATACCACCACATAAATACTAATAAGCATTATAAATTGGAATTTCTACCATTTTTATATAAGCATAATCACCAAAAACAAGCAAATAACAGGCTTTAAATTAACAAAACAGCATTTAAAAAAAAAATTAAAAATGACAATTTTAGCTACCATAGTCTTGCACAGACCCCCCCCTTTTTCTTTTAAATAAAAATAAAAAGGCAGATAGAAGATTGTGTGTGTGCGCAAAAGAGAACATCATTCTGCGAACAGTACATGTCGACAATGCAACTAACGAAAAGTTCAACATACATCATTCGACACAGTGACCAATTGCGTACATATGTACACAACGACACATGGATGCACACATACACCCAGTCTCACACTATTCATTTGTTTGTGTGGGCTGCAATGCATCAATGTGCATGTATGTCTGCACACGTGTGGTGTTATGACAATTTTTCTTCCCACTACCACAAAAACACCAATATATGCAACTCTATATAAATCAAAAATTTAAAAATTAATCAGTTTGTCTGACAATCACACTCCCATCAATCCGACTAAGTATGTTAGCTCTATCACTGATATTGAGCACTTTCCAGTAAGTACCATGCATATATAATATATAAATCTATATAAAACAAATTGCATATATATATATATATATATATATATATATATATATATATATATGCGGCCTTGTCTAGTGAGATATTCTGGGATGGTAATAAGAGGCATCACTTGATGCCATTAAACAAATAAGTTACCATAACAAGTCAATCTCATTTGCAATTAGTGAAAACAGGTTGCTTATACATTGTTTCTTCTAGATAGTAACTTTACTTCTAGCTTAAGAATTGCTAACCTCGTAAATGCTTCTTGTTTGTGCATGACCATCTTGAAATGAGTTTGTCACGAAACTGTTTTACATAAGTTTTACACGAAACTGTTTTACATAAGTTTTACAATGAAAGTCTCAGATAAAGTTTGTTATGCTTTTTTTTTTATTATTATTTTGTGATTATGTGCTTAACTTTTCATTTACCAACACTTGTAGAAATGCAGGCAAGAATACATTTTGTATGGCTTGTCCTTAGCATTATGAGTGTTATGACTTGAGGACAACTTTGTTTTTGGTACAGTATTTTTATACAATGTTAACTACAAACGACATTGAAGCTTTGTTCTGTGTAACACATGTAAGCTTCAATATACCAAATCACTTCTGATACAGAATTGAAACATTTTGTCTTCCCTTTTAAAATGAATTACTTTCACTTGATAATTGGTACAAACAGGAGTTTTTGTTCTCATTTCAATTAGCTGCTATTATGTAATGTATTACATGAACTTGAGGGGAACAATATCCATGTAATTACTATACAATAGAGTATAACTTCCATTCACAGCAAACTCATACATTTTCACTATTACTTTTTAATTTTACTTAAAAGATTTTATTTATTTATTTTTATTTATTTTTTTAATTTTTTTTTTTAATTCTAACACTGCTCCTTTACCTTTTTGTAGCTTGAAAGTAATTGTGACGCCGAAGGGAATGTGTTTGATAATGTAGGGGAATGGCATAATGACATGGCCCAGGGCATGATGAGTATTCCACAAGAGATGGAGGCTTTCGGTGAGAAAATGCCAGAGACTGGCACTACGTGCGCGGCCAATGATGATTTTGATGACAATGGTACTTAATTGTTCTTCATTCCCAGTCAACTTTCATTGCAGCCTCTTCCTTCTAAAAAGAGCCTACAGGCCTGCCTCTGAAATCCAATAGCCCTCACGCACACACACAGTTTCACCTATTATCCAGGCTGGCATCTTATTTCAAGTAACACCTCTTGTATTTTAAGTATGTATTAATATTTAAAAAATAATAATACTGGAGTGGTGATAGTTTTGGGAATATCACTCTTTTCTCCAAGAATAAACATGTCTGCAGGTGTTTATCCACATAAATGACAACTTGTGGTTTCTATTTTGCTAATGATTGTCAGGTTGATTGCTTTATTTATTCAGAGAAATTCAATCAGCAAATCTTTTAAACTATAAACTTAGCACAAAGACTCTTTAGAGTGCCTCATATTTCCACTAAGCTTTTCTAAATTTAGATAATATATTTAACTACTCACAAATCTGTAAAATTGAAATAATTACTTAAAATGAGTCTTTAATGGAAAAGAAAATTTTCAAATTACATGCCCTTATATTGAAATATACAAGTGAGTGTGGAAAAGTTATCAGCCACTTCCTAAAAATCTGACCAAACATCACAAAAGTTTTGTTTTTTAAGCCCGTTTTGTTGGGCCATCAACTTTTCAGCTCCTTTCCCATTCCTTTTATAAAATGGCCCATTGTTTTACATGGAACCTGGTTGCATTTATTAATATTCATCTTGAAATTGACTTGAAAACTGGGTATATGTTCTTGTATGTATATACATGGAGGAAATTTTAGATTTCCCCCAAAAACATTTGGATATATTTTTCACTAAAGTCTGATCATTGTATGAATTTTTTTTTCTCGTTTTTAAACGTTGTTGTTCAAATATATAGATTACAGAGCTTAATTTAAACCCTGCATTATCTTTTAAGTAATTTACTTCAGTCATAATAATGCCCAGTAAACACAATTTTGCATTAAAGCATGTATACCAATATGGCTAAGTGAATGACTGCACACTTACAGTGGGACTGGACTAGATGCATTTTTGCTTTTCTCACAATTTCAGAAGTTTACTTTCCCCATTTAATATATGGAAGACCTTTTAACAATTTAAGGTTTTTTGAACACATTTTTATGTTCATATATAAATGAAAACACTGATTATATACAACATACTTCTCTATTATAAAATAGTAAATAGAAAGGTAATGTATAATTTCAGTATTGAGCTGTTCTATCAGGATCAAACTTTGATGTTGCTGGCTGGGCCAGGTTAACACTAGCCAAATGTCATTTAGTTTAAAATTCTAAAAACATTCTCCCTGTATTCTGTACTTTGTTTGAATTTATTTTACAGTGGCATCTGCAAAGCAAAGAGGAACTTTACTTTAATCAGTTAATTATATTGCGATTTTTTTTTATTTTTTATTTTTTTTTTTTATTGTACCCCAATATTATTCATGAAAGCTAGGCATTTGAGGTATAAACAGATTGGGTTGGTTTTCATGCTACAAGGATACACATCTTAACTGACAAAGACACCTGCTGCTGTTTTTCTGAGTGTTCAAACTTAGTACTTCTCCTAAATTGATGCTCCAGGGTAAACAATTTCATGTTTTATGTCCCTTTTTATTTGTAACCTGTGCATTTATATAAACAATTGACAATTATGGAAATTCCACAAATTTTGATATAGTGTGCCATTTTTCTTTTTATACTAAATTTTACTTGTTTATATATATATTTATATATATATATATATATATATATGGTCTTGTACAAAGATACATGTGCTGGGGTGGGTATTTTTTCAGTTGTCTGCCATTTTGCAATAGTTTTTTTTTTTTTTTTTGTAATGCACTTCCTCTCTGGGGTGGGGGGACGCATTGGGGAGTTGGCAAATTCTCTCTCACTCTGCACTTATTGAAATGTGGGCTTTGAGGTCAACTGTCAACAAACAATTTAGTTTTATATATATATATATATATATATATATATATATATATATATATATATATGATCTATATCACTTGATGACTAAAGTAGAAATTAAACCAAGGTGGCCAGCCAAGGCTGGTTTGAGTTGGCTTACTTTTACATGGATGTTATATCATTGGCTCCACTTTAATGTTTTATGAAGCTATTTTGAAATTGAGCTTTTTTTTTTTTTTTTTTTTTTTAACCAAGCTCAGTTACAGAGAGTTAATCAGTTTTGGGTGTAGTTTATTTGCCTTTTACTTTTTTATGATGAGAAAAATAAAATGATAAAAATCTGTTAAATATTTTTTTTTTTTTTTTTGTACTTTTCAGAATGAAGAATCTGAGAGTTCTGAAAACAAGACTTCCTCTCCTGCTGAGGAAGAAACTGCTGATGTGGAGGTGGAAAATGAGTAGCTTCCCCGACCCCCCCCATTGACATCCAGACTTGCACATTCTTTGTTTTTGTCTGTGTTGCCCCAAGGTGGATGCTTGAAGAAAAAACAGGCAGGTGGGTGGGGTTGGCAGCAGTATGAAACTCCTGTCCTCTGCTCAAACTGTCCACCCTCCTCCTCCCCTCCCTCTTCTTTTTTTTTTTTTTTTTTTTTTCCTTTTTTTGTCATTGGTGGCTAATGCATAGATCTCCAATCCAGCAGCTGCTGGTCAGCCAGGAAGTGTGCCCGCTCCTCCGAGGCTGCTGCTGCTGCTATGGCAACAATCAACAAGATGCAGTCCAGCTTTGGGGAAAAAAGATTTTTTTTTTTTTTTTTTTTTTTTTTTTTTTTTTTTTTATATATATATATATTTTTACTTTTTTTTTTTTTTTTTTTTTTTTTTTCTGTCTCAGTTCATCTATTAGAATGGAAGAAATAAATGACCACCATTTTAAATTCTGGCTTCTTTTCTTTTCTTTTTCTTTTTGGGTTGTTAAACTTCAATTAAATGGAATTGCATGTTTGCTTTTAGATAGCTAACTATTTATTGCTTAAGGGGTAACAAATAGCCTGCAATCATGATCATCTGTAAAACAAATAACACTGAATGCTGCCCAGTTTGTAACTGGGTCTGCATGTAGCTCATAACTGCCCCAAAAAGTGATACCTAAGGTTTAAAATGCATTTTAAAAATGGGAAATCTTTCTAGACACTTGCAATTAAAATTTAAAATAAGCTAATAGATTAAATTTAATACTTCCAGTATGCAAAGTGTGTGTGTGTGCACTTGCATATGAATGTTTACATATTCAAACAGCAATAAATAAATTATAGATGTAACCTATAATTAATACTTAAGATACAATCAAATAAATTTTTTTAAAAAATCAAATAATTGAAGACATAAATATTTACCTTGTTATTTAAGCCTGAATAAGATAAAAAATAAACGAATACATTTTACATAATTAAGAATATTCAAGAAATATTGCGAGCAAAGACAGTTAAAAAAAACCTTACACCAATAATAAAAAAAAAAAAAAAGTATATAGATTAACTTAATATAAAAAAAATGAAAAGAAGGAAATAAGCAGTCAATCGCTGGTACTTCCTAAGAAATGGACTGATTATTAAAAGGTCTGCCTACAGAACTCTGGAGCCAGGATACTGAATATAACATCAATCTGTTAAGTGACAGACGGACGTGAGTATGCGTATATATATATATATATATTTTGTACACACAAAAATTCTTCAAATACAGAACTACTGAATTGTAAACATTACCCATTTATGATTAGTAAATGTAATTTTCTTTTAATAACAATATCACTAATGTTGAATACTACAAAATGAAAACATTTGTAAAAATTCATCAAAAAAGTGTTTTTCTTAAAACGGTCCATAGTAATTAAAAGCATTTGTAATCCTCTTCTCTTCACTCCTTTTTTAAGACTTGTCATTATAACTAATAGAAACTTTAAGTGCTACAAAAAAATAATTTCCTCGGAAATACATAAATTTAAGTGTTTGGTAACAAATGTAGAAAAAAAAAAGTTTCAGCAATAATTTTATTCATAAGTCCTGAAAGTTATATTGAAATCTGACAATTGACTAATTTTTGCAAGAATTTTCAAATCCGTTTTTTCCACTGCAAGAAAACACTCAAATTTCCCATATTTAATGTGACCTGTTGGTGCCTAAGAAACAAGATTTTTAACCAAAATTTCAAAGGTTCTAAAGTTTTTTTTGTTTGTGTTTTTGTTTTTGTTTTGTTTTTTTACATCGAAAAATCCTTTGGTCTTTCCCTTTTAATAACAGTTTCTGATGATAGAACCTTGCTTGTAAGTTTCGTGCATATTTTTTTTCATTATGTATGCTCTTTATTTTGTAAAGCTTTGGAGTATGTAATATATATATATATATTTAGCATTACAAAGTTTTTTCTCTTATCTTTATTAAAGAAAACTCATCAAAGAGTTATTTCCCCCTTTTCATTGGGTTTTCCCTTATAATAGTGTTTACTTTTTTTATTTTCCTCACATTCCCTAACACTCAGTAACCACTTGTACTGTAGTGGCTTTATTGCCTTGTAAAATGATTTTAAAAAAAAAAAAAAAAGCCACAGTAAATCAGGTTTAATTTTCACAACTGACAAAATATAAAATTGTGGATTTGAGTGACATCTTTTATTTACTTGTGTTATCATATCTTATACAATTTGGAAGGTCAAAATGGAGAAAGAAAAATTGTGAATAATGCTACTGGACTAAAATAAGTTGCTCTTAGCTAGCAGTTTGTAGCTGAGGGAGTTCCAATTTGATCTTTTCTTGAATCATGCTATTTTATATTTCACTCATTACAAGAGCCACTCAAGGTAGAGGGTTACTGTGTGGAGTTGTAGTAGCATAAGAAAGGGCAAGAAGTGAAGTTATTGGAGGTGGGGGTGCTATGCAGGAAAGATAACTGCTTTCTTTAGAAGGATCAGAAACTCAATCTTTATTAAGAAGCAAGGGTTAAACCACTACTGTTCAAATGATGGGAGGAGTGTGGACTGGATAATAGGCAAATCCAATCTACTCGTATTGGGAAATTTTAGTGGTTTGACAGACACATCAGAGTTGAAGGAACCAAAAACTCGATCCTAAACCCGAAATAAGGGATATACTTCTATATTATGCTATATCTGTTGATTTAATTTATTTTGAAAGACTTCATAACACGATTCAAGAAAATATATTTGTGTGTACACATAGCTGAAATGAGGAAACATTTATCAGATTTGCTGTTAGAAAATAAGTGTTGTGCCACTTGACATCCTGTAAGTACTTGAGCAAGAATAAGAGCATTTTATGCCTGTTATTTTTGTAGGTACTGAATAGAACACCTGGTGGCATTATGGGGATGATCCTGCAGAAAACTGATAAAATTTTTGAAACTCATTTTAAGTAAAATTAGTTCCTTTTGGAGGCGGGGGGTATAAATTTGGGATGAAACACTACAGTATGGTGCTACAGATTTACAATGGACGAGGTTGTCTTTTTTTTTTTGCCACTACCACACAAGGGGTTACAGAGAGTAAGAGAAAGACGGGGGTCAAGGCATCAAAAGATGTTGATTGACATTACATTTGAAGACTAGCTATCAGGGAAGCAAATGATAGGGAGTTCCACTGATAGGAGGTGCGAGATACAAAGACATTTAGCTGTTTTGACAATGAAAGTTACAGCTGAGTGAAAAGCTTTCAAAGTAAACGAGTTCAACATTTTTTAAAGATACAAATTCAGCATTGTGTGCGTGTGTATATATATAATAACAGCTCAAAAAGGAATAAAATTATATTCAGGTGTGTATAGATAGCTGAAAAGTTTTTTATTTATATATATTATAAATTAACTGATTTAAAAAAAATTTTTTCGCTACACAGTAATAACCATATTTCAAAAATGGCAGCTAAAAACTTTAAATTTAATTATGTAATTAAATTAAAAGCATTTAAGCAAATATTGGAATAACTTATTTTTAAATTTACTGAGTTTTAAATCGACGTATAAATTCATAATTTACTGTTTCCAAGGATACAGAGAAATCTGATCATTCAGACGGCCGGTAGCATGTTCATTTTTAACTATTGTATCAATTATGAGTTACATTTGGAAAAAGAGGTTAAGTTCAGGAAGGGTAGTGGGGTATATTTTTCAACGAATTCTAACATCCGTTAAATGCATGTCTGGAGTTTTTTTTATTAATGGCAAAGTTTTTTGGCATTTTTTTTTTTTTTTTTGTATAATTAAAGATTCTTTTTTGGGGTGTTTGGGTTAGGATATTAAAATATTTTAACTCTTAATTACTAATAGACTATATTTCTTTTTAAAACAAGTAAATGAGAATTACTTAAGAAAAAATAATTTATCAAATATAAGTATGTATATTACCAGCTCCCATTTTTTTATTTTTTTTTATTTTTAAATATTATTTAAGGAAAATTTTGACAATAACAGCAAAAAATAGCTATTTCATTTCTCTAATTCAGTAAATTTTTATTTTTTATAAACTTAGTAATATATAGTTTCTCATGTATGCACAAAGGACATGGGTCATTTAATGACCTACATATTCTAGCTTTTCTTATTAATTTCCATTTTACTGTAGGTGTTTTATTGGATTATTTTAAGCGCCAGAAATACAATATATAAATGAGGAAGTGGGGCAAAGGCCTTTACAGACACATTGGCTGGTGTGTGAGACTAAAATATATATATATATATATATATATATATATATTATAAATTAATTGATTTAAAATTTTTTTTTTTTTTTTTTTTTTTTGCTACACAGTTCTAACCATGTTTCAAAAATTTGAAAAATCCAGATGACATGCATTCAACGGATGTCAGTTTTCATTGAAAAATATATCCCTACCCCTTACCAAAATGTAGATAATAACCGATACAATGATACAGACATAAGGAAAACCCAGACACCCCTTGTCCAGTTGAAGTAGATTTATCTGTAACCATGGAAATGTGATTTTAGCTGTGTCTTTAAAACCCAGTAATTTTAAGTTACTCCAAAATTCGCTTGAGGATGAAATGGAACTAATGTCTAATTTAATTGCAAAATTAAATTTGTGGCTTTTAGCTTCCATTTTTGAAAAACATGGTTAGAACTGTGTATTAAAAAAAAACATACTTTAAATCAATTAATTTATAATATTAATGCTCTGTAAATTTACATTGAGCACTATTTTGTAAAAAATAAAAATATCTATAAGAACAACCGGATTATATATCTTACTGTTCTTTCTTTTTATTTTATATATATATATATATATAATGGTGTGGTACATACTTTTTGTACATGAAAAACATCAAAACTGATGGAAGAAATAGTTTGAGTGATTC